GGGGGGGGGGGCGGAGGGAGTGGTCTCCTGAAGGGGGGTGATCTGAGGGTCCGAGTACCTGAATGGTGAGCTGGCGGCTGATGGATGTGTTGCCACCGTGTCTCGGACAGAGAACGGCAAACCAGCGGGCAGGTGGGGGGCGGGGAGCACGGCCAAGGCGCCGTCGCGCTCGCGCCCCCATTCTTTGCCCGTAGCTATTCTCGGCCTGCGCCGGTTTCGGCGAGGAAGCCTCGACTTCGGGAATCGTATCGAGGTTGCTCTGTGCACGGATCTTGTCCAGCCCCCCCCCCCCGCCTCCGGTTGCTGCGGGTCGCGAGGGGACCCCGTGTAATGTGCGTGCCGTGGTTTGGCCTGCGGATGTATGTGCGGAGAGACCAGCCGCACTGGATGCTTGCCACCGGCTGGACCGCGGCGCACGCCCCGAAAGGGATGCGAGCAACGCCCCCGGGGGCGCGGGGAACTCTCAATCTCGGGCGTGTGCGGCCCGCACGCCCTTTGGGAAATATAGGGTTAGAATCGCCTCGGAATGTGGCCTGCTGATCAGACACCATTTGCCAGGCAAATGCCGGTCGCACAGGGTGAATGGCGGCCGTGCTGTACGTCCGAGCGGGCAATGGGGCCTCGCCTGCAAGTGGGCAGGAGGATGCACCGGCGCGCTTGCCTTGGACAGCGAGCCGCGACCCACCCGCGCCCCCGGCAATGGACCGTCACGAAGCTTTTTTTGAAAAATGTAACGGCCCTGTGCCCAATTTCTGGCCCCTGCCAGCCTCCCGAGCCTAGCACGCGCTCTTGTCTCCCTCCTTTCGAGGCCCTGGGCCGGGCACAGGCCCCGGTCCATCGGCCCGCCAGATGTCGCCCCCTGTCCTCGTTGGTTGGGGCCTGGAAGTGGGCACCGCCAGCAAGGCCGGGGATTCAGGGAAGCCTCCACCCAGGGGGAAAGGGGGGGGGGGGCAGGAGGGCCCCACCCCCGTTTCGCCCCCCGAGGAGCCCCTGGATGACCCGGGGCCTCGTTCGGCGCTTCGCCCTCCTCACCGAAAGGGGGCCGGCCATACGCGTGCGCGCGCACACACACATACACACACATACACACACGCACACACCTCCACGTTGGGCGCGCGGCTTTCTCCCACTGCTCACCCAGCACGCCCACGCGAGAGGCAGGGGTGGAGGGGGATTGTTGCCCCCTTTCATCCACGTTCAGGGAGGCGACTTAGACACAGCCCGCCCTTTGGATGCCGAGGCACCACACCGGGGCTTCTGCAAAGGAAGATCCGGACGTTGATCATGTGGAATCCACGCGGGCCTCCGGGCCCAGATTCGGCGCGAGATTGCGCCCTTCACGCGGCTTTCTTCCGTCACAGGCCACCGGACGGCCGAGACCGGTCCGACGGGAGTCAGGGGATATTTTCCCGCGCTGCTGGCCCGCAGGTACGCCCACACGTCTGCGCGCGCGCGCGCGCGTCCACGAGCCTCCCCTCCCCGCCCCATACACGTATAATCCCGAGAGGGGGCCTGCGCGGGTTGGAGAGGCAGTGGGGGCGGGGACGGAGCGGTCTCCCCCCTCCCCCCCTCCCCCCCCCCCCCCGGCCACACATTTCTCTATTCCCAGGCCGGGGGAGAGCGTCGCCGACCCAAGGACCCCCGCCCCCTCCGATTATCTCTCTTTCTCTTGCACTCTTTCGGGTGCCTGTCAGCTGTGCGTGGGCCCACTTGGGCGCAGGCCCCTTGCCGTGACCCAGCTGCGGGGTGCTGCGCGGGGGGGGGGGGGGGGGGGGGGAGGGCTGGCTGGGCGGTGTGTCCCCATCCCGCGCGAGGCCCCGACCTGGCGTTCGCGGCCATCATCCCGGGCTGGCCCGCGGGTAGCCACCAAGTTTTTACGCATGGCCAGGCCACACCGGGCCCGGGTTTCAGGTCCACTAGCACCCATGTCTCCGGGGCCGTGGGCCGGATGTGTGCGGTGCGTGCTTGTGTTTGTGCATGTGCGTGTGCATGTTGCGTGTGTGTGTGTGTGCGTGGCGGGGGGAGGCGTGCGGTGGCAGAGAGCTTTCAGAGACACTCTCAAGCCCAGTCTTACGCTCCCCGCAAGACTCCCGACCAGATCCCCCCATCATCATTTCTGCTGCCGTATGCCCGCCCCCCCCCCCTCCCCCCGCGCCCGTCCTCACGTCACTTTTCGCTCGACCCGAACTCGCTCGCTCACTCGCTCGCTTGTTCATTCCCCCGCCACCCCCACTCACCTGGTCCCTTCTCTCTTCCTTCCCCCTCCCGCCCCCCGTCCTCACCCCGCCCTGCCTCGCCCCGCCCCGCCCCTCGTTGCCCTCTGGTCTAGTCTCCCACGCTCGACGCTCCCGGAGAAGAACCGCCACCCATTTTTCATCATGTCCACCGACGAGGTTAAGGACAACCCCATGTGCGCGGGCTGCCACGTCAAGGCCGCCACCCTGCAGTGCCCGAGCTGCCTGAAGATCCCGCTGCTGGCCCAGTCGCGCGGGTCCTTCTTCTGCTCGAATGAGTGTTTCAAGTCCGTGTGGAATGTCCACAAGCTGGTGCACCTGGCGGCCGAGCGTAAGTACGCGCCGTACGGGTCCATCGGCAAGCCCATGTTCCGCGGCGAGCTCTATCCCTGGCCCCTGTCGCCTCTCCGCAAGATGCCGCCCGGCTGGAAGGGTGTCTACCCGGACTACGCCAAGACCGGCGAGCCGGTCAGCGAGCGCCGCTGGCCGCGCAACGCCATCCCCGTCCTGACGGCCGAGGAGGAGCGTGCCATGTGGAAGGTCGGCCGCCTGGGGCGTCAGATGTTGGACCTCGGCGCCCAGGCCATCGAGGTTGGTGTCTCCACCGACGAGATTGACCGGATTATCCACGAGGCCATCGTCGAGGCGGATGCTTACCCGAGTCCGCTCAACTACATGGGCTTCCCGAAGTCCTGCTGCACGTGCGCCCGTCCTGCTCCCCCTCGCTGGCTCTGCTTTTCGCTGGTCCACTTTTTTATCACCATTTCCCCTGGCGCCCGGCGCTCTGACCGCTGTCTCTTCGATCTTCTCCCTTTCTCCTCCCTCTCCCTCCTTCCCTCCCCCCCCTCTCTCTCTCTCTCTCTTCCTCGCCCCCCCCCCCCGGATTGCATATGCAGTTCGCTCAACGAGGTCATTTGCCATGGCATTCCGGATGCCCGGCCGCTGGTTGCTGGCGACATTCTCAACATCGATGTGTCGGTCTACCTGGAGGGCTTCCACTCGGATCTGAACGAGACCTACTTCGTGGGCGAGGTTGACAGCGATTCCAAGCGCCTGGTCTATGCGGCCCGTGAGAGCCTCGAGCTCTCCATCGATGCCTGTGCGTGTCCCTCCTCTCTTCCTCTCCCTCCCCTTTTTCTCTCTCCCTTTGCACCGCGCGGTTCCTTCTTACTTACCGTCGGCTTTCCTTTTTGGTCTCTCCCACCATAGGCAAGCCGGGCATGGCCTATCGCGAGCTGGGCAGCATCATCGAGACCCGTGCCAAGAAGGACAACCTCAGCGTCGTCCGCAACTTCTGCGGCCACGGTGTTGGCCGCCTCTTCCACGGCCCGCCCAACGTCCCCCATTACGCCAGTATGTTTCCCGCCCCCGTCGAGCCGTTCACCCCCCATTCTTCCTGGCCGGGTTTTCTCCCAGGTGAAGCAGCACGCGCAAAGCACCATTCTCACACCTTCATCCCCCCCTCGCCACTCCTTTGCACACACAGACAACAAGACCTTTGGCGTCATGAAGAAGGGCCATGCTTTCACCATCGAGCCGATGCTTAACCTTGGCACCGTCAAGGAGATCATGTGGCCGGACAACTGGACTGCCACCACCTATGATGGCTCGCGCTCCGCCCAGTTCGAGCACACCCTCCTGATCACCGACACCGGTGTCGAGGTCCTTACCCTTGGCGAGGGGCTCGATGGCAAGGACGGTCGCTACTTCGGCAGCCAGTACGCTCCGAAGTACCGTCACCTCGACGAGACCGCCTCGGAGAAGGCCCGCCGCGAGGCCACCGAGCAGACCGCCTAATCGCATGCGCCCCGTTCCAGATGGTGTCAGCTCTCCTCCCTGCTGGCCTCCTTTCTGCCATGAAAGGCAAGGAGGAGGTGGCACATTCCCCTCCTTCCTCCCCCCCCCCCCCTCTCCCCCCGGATGGCGCGCGCAGAAGCACATGCATCCCCGCTGTTCCCCCGAAGTTGCCCATCTCCTCCGCTTGTTGTGGGATGTCACTTGCTGGCTCCTGTCCCGCGGGAGGGGCCGGGCGACAGGCCAAAGGAGCCCAGTAGCCGGCGGCGCATGCACCACAGCCCGCGCGACCCAATACATGCCCCCTCCTCCTTCTCTTCCTCTCCTCTGTGACTGCCACCATGTGGGGGATGCATTTTCCTCTCCAAGTGTGTATGGATGTGTGTGGATGTATGAATGCATGTTTATATATAGAGATGGCATCGGGGCCGCGAGAACACTGACACACAGGCACCGGCCAAAGTGCGTGTAGCGTGCGGGGTATCGAAAAAAAAGAAGAAGAGACAATGCTGACTGCCCCATGCATGGCCCGCCGCCACTTCGACAGCTTACTTCCGATAGCGGAGTCGACGGAAGTTGAAGTGAAGCTGCAGAACGCCACGATCGAACGAGCAGCGGAAGCCCTTCCGCGGGGCCATCTCCCACTTCTTGCGCATGATACGGAAGGCAATATCCTTTGGCAGGAAGGGCCGGCGGCGGGGTGGTTGGAGGGGAAGGAGTCAGCGGTCAACGGCCACGGCCAAGCAGGGCGAGGGGCAAGGCGAGAGGGAGAGAAGGAGCACGGGGCATGCCGGGGCACAGTGGGCGCACCTCGTACGGCGCCCCGGCGCTGATCTTGAGGATCTCCGTCGGGGGGTCCGGCCCAGGCGGCGCCTCGGGATCCGGAAGACGAGTGTATGTGGGCGTTGCCCGGGGGTCGATGAGGTCGGGGTAGAAGATCTACGCGTGTGCGTGTTTTGGGAGGAGGCCGCGAGCCGCATCGATGGTGGCCTGGTGAGCAACGAATGAAGCGCCGAGCGGCGAGGGAAGTGTGGCAAGGAGTCGGTCGTACGTTGAACTTGTAGCCGAAGATAACCTTCGGCGGGGGGTTGTCCCGGTCGTAGTGGGTCTTGTTGTACTTGTTCCAGTCGAAGCCGGTTTGCACGCGATTGAAATACCGCGGTTTCCGGGGGCGGTACTTGTCCCCGGCCAGCATGGTAGACAGCTGGTTGCCATCGCTGCCACCCAATGTGTCGAGACTGATGAGATCGTTGAAGAGCTGCTCGTCCTCGCTGAGGCCCTTCCGGCGCTCGGTGGAGTACATTTCGATGGCAGTCTGCATGGGCGCACACGCGCACGCGCGCGCGAGCACACACACACACACACACACGCATGTCCGTGAGGGCAGCACATTTGCGTGGATATATGTCGGTGTTAGTGCGCTGACAGGGGGAGGGGGGGGGGGGGAGCGAAGGGCGCGATCGACGCCTGAGCAAATGCTCCGGCTGGGTTGGGCACGTACGTCGGATGGATCGAAATCCTCGCCAGTGACCGGGACCGACGGGTCGTCCAGCTGCCGGACATCCACCAGGTCGCCACCGCTCTCCTCGTGATGCCGGCGCTGCTGCATCAGCTGCGCCACGGTCACCACCGGACGCGGGGCCAGGCCACCATAGACCTCCTCCTCCGGCTCCTCTTCCGGCCGGTCGCCGGCGTCGGCCGCGGGCCGGGCCAGGGCTGCATCTCGGCCGAAGGCGTCCGTCTCAGGCGCCGCGGCGCGTCGGCTGCCGCGCTTCTCCAAACGCTCCAGACGTTCCAGGCGCTGGGCCAGCTGCTCCACATGGATTTCCCGCACTCGAGCCCGAGCGCGATAAACGTGGATGGCCTTGGCGACGGAGTTCCAGAAGTCCGTGTCCACAAGCGACGAAGAGCGCAGCTTCTGCTGGACATCGAGCTTGATCTCATCAAGCTGTTGGGCAGCCAGATGGCAGGCAAGGCATGGTCAGCATTTGGCCGGGGCAGGTGGGAGCAGAGGAGAGACAGACGGAGGGAGGAGGGGCGTGAACAGTGCGCAAGGCATACCTGCTTGGTGGTCTTGCCACCCAGTAGCTTCTCGATGGCGACGGCGGCATCGCCATGCACCCCGGCGACCGTCGTGCTGACCGTCGAGCCGGCAATCAGCTTTGCGCGCTCATCCTGGCAGATGATCAGCAAGTTCTGCGAAATGAACCAAAGGGTCGCGAGCGCCAAACAAATCAGCAACCGCAGCAGGGGGAGCAAGAAGGAAAAAAAATACGAAACAAAGAAAGCTTCTGGCGCCCGGATGGCAAGGCCAACGTACCGACCAGAAGGCGGGGAACTGCTCGGTGTCGATCTCGTGGAAGAACTGGATTTCCGAAGTCAGCTCGTCCAGCTCCTCCAAGGTCAGGCCCTGGAAAACTTCGGCCGGGTCGTCGATGGCAACCTCCACATCCAGGCCGTCCTCGGGATCTTCCTCCTCCTGCGGAGTGGAGCGGGCCCCATCGGGGCCAGCATCCCCGGCGGCGGCCAAGTCACTCTTCATGTCGCCATGACGTGAGGGGGGGCGGATGTCCAGGCAAAGTGCAATGATGTCGATGGGCTTGGCACGGCCGGAGCGGACGCGGATCTCAGCACGAGCGCGTGCCTGGCGGACGTTAAACTCGGCCTCCTTACGCGAATGCTCACGCATCAAGGCCTCCTCCTTCTCGGTGAGTGATGCATGTCCCATCAGGGCGCGCTGTTCATCCAGCTGCTGGCGACGGAGACGCAGCTCAGCGGCCTCTTTCTGCCGGCCGATGCGTGTGAGTGTGCGCACGTGCAGGATGGAGTAGGAGGGGGCGGGGAGGGAGGGAGGAGTGTCAGCAACGACGTCCATGGGCCAGGGCGGCCTCCTTCCGCAAAGAGAGTGGGGCAATGCGCCAGGGCCGGTCAAGAGACAGGGCGAGCAGCCCACAGGACGGCGGTAACGTACAATGCACCGGTTCCGGCGCTCCTCATTGCGAGCGGCGATCTGGCTGGCGGTCAGGCCGAGGGTCTTCTTTTCATGCTGGATCTTCTTCGACCAAACAAAGAGGTCTGCCGAAGGAGCGGCAGAGGCGGACCCGGGCGCCGGGCGGCTGTCACCGTCCAGGTCAAACTCGTCGTCCGACAGGACGATGCGACGAGAGGAGGACCGGCGCTCAGGCGACCGGCGGGAGGACTTGCGCCGAGAGGACCGCCGGCGGTCGCGCGAGCGTGACCGGTCGCGACGCGACCGCCGAGACCTCCGAGAGGACCGCCGGTCACGATCGTCCTCGTCCGAGGAATAATCCAGCGACCGGGAGCGGGAGCGGGAGCGAGAGCGCCGACGATCGCTCCGACGTCGGCTCGAGCGGCGCCCACTGCTCCGAGAGCTGCGATCGCGACTGCGGCTGCGGCTGCGGCTGCGGCTGCGACTGACATTGCGGTCACGGCCGCGGTCGCGGTCGCTCCGGCGCGAGGGGGACCGCGACCGAGACTCCGACACCGATCGGTCTCGCCGGGAGGACCGGCTGGACCGACTCGGCCGAGAGCGGTCGGGGCTGCGGGAGGACATCAGGCGGCGCTTTTACGGCGTGCCCTACACACCACCGGCAGGAGGAGCAAATTGGCTCGGGTGAAGGGAGCTGAAATCAAGGGGGGGGGGAGTGCGAAGAAGGATCGAGAAAAAGGCAAGATACAGGATGGCAAAGGAGAGCCAGAGAGGGAGAGAGGGAGATAGGAGGGGTGGTGGAGCTTGCCAAGGGGCGCATTGAGCATGCCCTGGTTCACTAAAAGGCTGGCCGTGCCTCGGGTGAGGGGCGCCGGGAGTCGAAGGAGGGCGGCGCAAAGGAGGTGGTGCTGATCCCCCCCCCCCCCCCCCATTGTCAGCACCACACGCGCGCCCGCCCACACCACACACGCACAGACAGGCTTGCGCCTGCAGGCCTACCCAACGCCACCGGGGAGTCCCAACAGAGAAGCAGCGGGAAACTTGCGCAGTCGAAGCCGGAAGGTGCGGCGGCAGTTGAGGGGGGCGGGGCGATTCGCCGCGTGATCTATTAAAAGCGGCCACCTGACAGATGATTGTGGTGACTGAGGTAGGAGTGGGGGTGGTCCGAGTGGTGCTGGTGCGGCGGCCGTTGCTGGTACTGGTGGGCGGTCAAATCGGCGGGGCTGTCCTCGGCACCGGTGGCGGTCAGATAGTCGGCCGTTTCGGCCAGGGAATATTCGCTGATCAGGTCGCGAACGGCATCGCTGTGTGCCGGAGGGTGGAGGGACATGGAGGGAGGGAACAAGGGGCGGGTTTGCCGTTATGGTGTGTGTGGGGGGAGGGAGGTCAGAGAAAGAGGGTGAGCGGAGGCAGAGACGGGCCGAGGCGGAGAGAGGGAGGGGAGAAAGCGCACTAGCACTGCATAAGTTCCTCGTGGAAGTCGGCATCCGACTGGGAGGGCAGATATGCGGTGTACTGACGGTAGTATGCCCGGCGAGTGTTCATACGCGAGAAGGCGGTGCAATACTCGTGGAAGGTCTTTGCGAAAGCCCGAATCCAATGGTCAGTGAGGGAGTGCACCGGCGGGGATGAAGACACCCAAATGCAGGCACAGCCAAGGCCGGACAATGGAAGGAGGGGGGCGGGGGAGGAGGGAGTGCTCGGCACGCACTGCTGCAATGCCAGTCCAGTTGGACAGGAGAAGCCCATCAGGGGCTTGGTTCGGGGCCGGTTCGGTGGCGGCCGGCATCGCGGCCGGCTGGCCAGACACAGCAATCTGAAGGGAGGCCGGTACCCAGGGGGCGAAGGGGGGCGGGCTGGAGAAGGCCTGCCGCCGGAAGCCCCCCCCAGCTGGCAGGTGGTCGTGCGACATGGCAGCCGCCGCGGTGGCCGCCTGCTGGCCCAGGGCCAGGAACTGCGCCGTGGTCGGCAGCGAGCTGGGGGCATGGCTGGTGGACACCAGCAGGCCGCGGTGTCTCAACCGAGCCAGCGCATGATGTACGTCATGCGCTTCTAGCGAGGGCGCCGCGCCAGGCCCGCCAGCCGAGCCCGAGCTAATCGAAGCCCAAGCGGCGATCAGCCGGCCGGGCGGGCCGCCCGGGGCTCCGGCCAGCCGGTGGTCCGGCCGCAGGAGGTTTGGCAGCATGTCGCGCAGGGTTTGGCCCCCGGTGCCGGGACCCGCACCGCGCCCGGAAAGGGGATACATACCGCCGCCCAGGGCAGGGTCGAAGTCGCCCCCCCCGGCTCCGGCCAAAGGAAGGTCCCCGACCGCCCGCGGCCAGGCAGACAGAGAGGGGGTCAGGAATTGCAGCCGCGAGTCCGGCACCAGGGAGGCAATGATGCCGCCGAGGCCGGCCGACCCGCCGGAGGCCGACCCCGGACCGCCGGGCGTCGAGGGCAGCCGCATCGGCGCGGTCGCCAGCGCCAACGCCCGGGCGATGAAGCGGTTGTTGACGCCGAAGGATTCCTTGGGCGCGAGGCCCGCCAGTTGGCTCTGGCGGAAGTGCGACGAATTGGCGAAGGCCGAATTGTCGAAGACAAACTGCTCACGAGGGCGGGCGTCAGTGGGAGAAGCACGCGGATCGGCCTTCCCATGGGCGGGGAGCGATGCGTACCACTGCATCTGCGCATTCGGCCAGGCGCCGGAGAGACAGCAGCACATTGTACGGGGCCAGCACCACGTCCGAGGAGCCGCGGATTTGGGGAAAGATCGAGGATGTTTGAATCTGCGACCGGGCAGTCGGGTCCATGTCAGAAGGCGCACCCCACAAGGCCCCGAGCAGCGGGCCGGCGAAGGGCGGCGAAGCCACCGCGGAGACGCACATGCTTGGAGGGGAAGTTGTCCACAAGCCACTCGAGAGTCCGGCTGCCGACGCCGGCGCCCGTTCCACCGCCGATCGAGTGTGTCAGCATGAACCCCTCCAATCGGTCACACGCTTCGGCCTCGCGGTTGATCATATCTCCAAGGAGGAACTCGAAGGCCAGGTCCGATGGCGCGTCGGTGCCGGCCCCACTGGTGGCCGACTCCCAGTAGCCCTTGGTCCAAACGTTGCCGGCTCCGCCGCCGTCACTGCCTTTGAACACCCGGTCGCGTCGGAAGAGGTCGGCATGTGGCCCGACGAGCACCTGGTCGATGACCTGGGGGGGGGGGGGGGGGAGGGGAGGGGGGATTACATGTACACGTGTGTGTGTGTGTGTGGGCATGGTCGATTGCCGGAGCCGTCCGTCCGCCCCCGGTACCCAAAAGACAGGGCGTGTCAGGGACTGTGCGCACACAGGTGCAAGGATGTCTGGAAGCTAGGCACGAACCCGTGGCTCCAGATCGGCCATCACCAAACGCGGGACCCATTTGTGGTCGGACACTTGGGAGAAGAAGATGTCCTTCATGTCGGAGGTGTGTTGGCCCAGGGGGGTGGACTGGACAACGCCATCTGGCGAGAGGCCATGCTCTCGGCAGAGAGCCGACCAGTATGACAGACCGACTGTGCTTCCGGCGATGTCGGTGGGGGCAGGGCGCGTTCAGCGTCAGACAGGGACACCTTGTTTGCGGGGAAAGGAACGGGTGGCGGGGCGGGAGAGGGCCAGTTTGGCTGGCTGGCTGGCTGGCTGGCTGGCTGGCTGGCTGGCTGGCTGGCTGGCATTCGCATGTGGCCGCACCCTGGTTGCCACACTGGCCGAGCTGGATGCTAACAATCTCCTTCGACATTGCTGCCAGAGGGCAGTCGTGCGGAGCGCCGGTCTGGTCCGGCGATCGGAGGCGGCAGCGAGGAGTGCCCTTGGCAGTTGAAGAGAATGGAGGCGAGGCGGGGAGAGCAGCAGGAGGGGAGGAGACGGGAGGCCGGTCTGCCGCTTGGGAGGGGGTCAACACACGGCAAAAGACCGGGCGAATCAGGGAGCAGGGCAGAGGGCGAGAGAGAGAGAAAGAGAGAGAGAGAGAGAGAGGTCCGGAGGCTGGTGAGGCGATCGGCACGGTGCCGCCGCCTTGCCGCGGCGGGGGACGGGGGAGATCGCGCGCTGAAGAATAACTAGATTCGCTGGTCCGCGAATCACGTGTGGTAGATGGCAAGGCGCTCCATGAGGGCGCTCCCTTCCGCGCGGTGGCCGAAATGCGAATGGCGCACGCCCACCCGGGCGCGGCTGCCATCGGCAATAGCCACTTCTCCTCCTGCGGGCGACCAATCTCCCGGGGGCTGGGAAGCGGGCTGGTCAGCGGCGCCCCCGTTACCTTTTCCACTTTCTCCGGCTCCCGACGCGGGGAGATGTCCAACCTTGGGAGGGGGAGGGGGGGGGGGGGGGACGCACGCGTGTGTATGTGTGTGGAAAACTGACACCGGACTGTGATCTGCCATCCTCGCCCCCTCTTCGCGCTTCTCGCCTCCCCGTGCCGAGAGCAGCTCCCCACCGCATGCACGGGATGCTGGATGAGTGGCAAGAAAAAACAACAACACCAGACTGCACATGCACGCACGAGCGCGCACCGCAGAAGCGGCCAAATACAAAAGAGAGGGTGTCTATTCGCGACAGAGGGGGGGGGGAGGGGGACACCACGTGCACACGAGAGGGAAAGCGCATGGCGGAGATATGGCAGGGGCGGGGAAGGATGTCCAGTCTCGCGCATCTCTCAGAGTGGAGTCTGTGAGTATGTGTACGTGTGTCCTGCGCGGGGAGGGGGAGAGGGAGAGAGAGGGAGAGGGAATATCGCCCCCGTCCCGCGTGCAAGTTCGTCATACACATGCGCTTACATGCGGTGAATGATGTCGTTGGTCATGCCGGCAAGGGCCTCGAAGCCCTCGTTCTGCATGGTCTCCCACCAGCCGAAGAGGAACTCGTTGCAGATGATCCGGAACCAGGGGGTGACAACAGGGGGCTGGCCGGCCTCGCGCAGCTTGACGTCCTCGTCCAGGATGGCCTTGAGCTCGTCCATGGAGACGTACTTGGTCTCGCTGATCTCGTTGGGGTTGGGGTTGGCAACAACACCGGCGCGCTTGGCAATCAGAATGTAGTCGACTGAAGTGGCGGGTGCCGCGCGGAGAGAGAGAGAGAGAGAGCACCAGTCGATGATCAGCCTCGGTCAGTGGCCAGGAGAGGCGGGGGGGGGGAGAGAGAGAAAGAGAAAGGGGGGAGAGAGAGAAAGAGAAAGGGGGGAGAGAGAGAAAGAGAAAGGGGGGAGAGGGGCGGCATTGGGAAGGAGGTGTGTGCGCGTGTGAATGTGCCGGCGCGGGGAACGCACTCTCGTGCTCAGCCCACTGGCCACCGGAGGGGGCCATGTAGTGGATGCGGGTGAGGAAGCGGTAGTCCTCCAGGGGGAGGGCCTCGGGGGTGATGCCGAGCTCCTGGACAAGCTTGCGCTGGGCAGCGCGCTTGGCGCCGACACGGTTGTTGGACTGGTCGAGCTCCTGCATCGCAGGGAGGGTGCGCGTGTGCGAGACAGGGGGAAGGGGAGGATGGGGGGGGGGGCCCGAAGGTCGATTGTCAGTCGTTGGTCCTCGGCAAGGAGAGGAAGAGAGAGGGAAGGAGGGAAAGGAAGGGGGACAGCGGGCCCGTGGGAAGGAGCGGGGGCAATCGCGCGGGTGCGCACCTCCTTGGTGTAGGCCATGTGCGAGCAGCAGGTGTTGGTCCACAGGTCGGGGAAGGTGATCTTCTCCGAGGCACGACGCTGGAGCAGGAGCTCGTTCTTCTCGTTAAAGAGGAAGACCGAGAAGGCGCGGTGAAGGAGACCCTTGTCGATGTTCTCGACGAGATGGCCTGCATCGGGGAGAGCGGGAGGGCGGCGAGGAGGGCGCGTCAGACGGATGTGAGGGCGAGAAAACAAAGCAGAGCCGAGGCCCGGTCGGCCGGATCCGACGACGCACAGTTGACCTTGGTGTCGTAGCCGATGGGGTTGTCGTCGTTGTCAACGACGACGATGGTCTCGAGCATGAACTCCGCCTGGACCGGGTCGTAGGAAGACAGATCGACGGGGGGAGGGGCGGTAGAGACGGGGATCTCAGAGGTGACGGTGGGGGTGGACATGGTGGCGGGAGGGGGGGGGGGGGGGGG